GTCGTGCGGGCGGGACATTAACGTGTGGTGCATAATCGAGAGGGCACGCGAGAGCCCTAACGGTCGGGTCGGGTCGGGTCGGGCGAACCCTAACGGGCGGGTCGGGTCGGGTCGGGACGGGCGGACCCTAACGGGCGGGTCGGGCTGGGCGGGCGGGACATTACAGTGTGGTTGGTGCATAATCGAGAGAGCACGCGAGAGCCCTAACGGTCGTGTCGGGTCGGATCGGGCGGACCTTTACGGGCGGGTCGGGTCGGATCGGGACGGGCGGACCCTAACGGGCGGGCAGGGTCGGTAGCCGTAAGGTGTGTGGATATGTCACAAGCGTGGCATGCCGAAGAGGTCTTCCTGGCCCACGGGGCTGAGGGTGTCTCGACGGCCTCGAGGGTGGTTCAGGGTGCGATGTTGGCTGCGGATGACGTCCTGGGGCCCGTACTGCTGCCTCAGCCGCCCGAAGTCAACACAATCCGTCGTTTCCGAGAGCTTGTCCACCAGGTGCAGCGTCAAGACCGTGTTGTCTTTTGGTTCGCTGTGCAGTTCGTATCTGATTTTGCCTGACGGGGACTCGTGGTCTTAGCCTTCCGTGCAAAGAGCGCAGTGCCCACCCCGGTGCTCGGTCGAGCCAGGCTTTGAAGATCAAATGCTCACCCAGGGGTTTGGACTCCAAGATCGGGAAGGCTATGGAACCTCTCAAGACCTCCCTTGCTGCTGATGCTGCGGCTGCGAGCTCCTCCCTCGTCCCCTCCTGCCCTGAGATTGTGCGCCGGTTGCGAAGGCCCTCCGCACCGGGGAGGCCGAGCTGCAGCATATCGGGGGGGCGGAGACTGGGTCGGAGTCCGGGTCGGGATCGGCTGGTGGTGTGCGGCCCATCAGGGCCGCACCCTACAGCGCCGTTTTTAATACATGCTCCGCGTGCGGACCATGTATTAAAAGTAAAGGGTTGATTAGTAAATGCAAGGATGAGTTTATGTATTAGTTCAATTATAATTTGATCATGTGTTGAAACTCCTATACATCAAAACAACCGATCTATTAAAAACTGCCCTGCACCTAACAAACTTGGATGGGCCCCCTGCGTGCGGCCCGTCTGCCCCAGGTGGCCGACGGGGCGCCCGCCCTGGCCCCTGGGCCAACCTGCCGCTCTCGATTCTGCTGCAGCCAGCTCGCTCGTCCCCTCGCCATGTGCGCCTCCAGGCTGTCCGCGCCTCCCCCCTCCTCCCTCCCTCCCTCCTCCTCCCTCGACGGCGCCGCCGTTCTCGACATCTCTGCCCTGTCGGGTCGATCCGATGCCATTTCTTTCCTCCCTCGTCCTTGCGCCGCCCCCCTTCTCCTCCTCCTCCTCCTCCTCCTCCTCGTCCTCCTCCCTCCTCCTCCTCCTCCTCCTCCTCGTCGTCGTCCTCCTCCTCCTCCTCCTCCTCCTCCTCCTCCTCCTCCTCCTCCTCCCTCTCTTCCTCCTCTCTCACTCCTCCTCCTCCCTCTCTTCCTCCTCCTCCTCCTCTTCCTGCATATCGCCATCCTGCCAGGTCAGAGTGCAGATCGGTATCCGCGACTTCACCACCACGGTCGCCAACTACCACTACTTCCTGAACACCGTTGCCGGGAGGTCTCTCTGCTACGGACCTGGCCTGCTGGACGACCAGCAGGCCGGCCACGTCACCAGGTTCATGATCCAGGCCGCGTCTCCTCGCCGCTCCTCGCTGGTTGGCCCCGCTCTCTGTCTCTCTTGATCTGCCTTCCCCCCTCGTCCATCGTCCCTTGCCCCCCCCTCCCTCGTCGGAATGTATCCGCTCCGCGATTCGGGACGCTTCTGTTTTTCCCCTCGTGATTCGCGGCTTCAGGTCCAGACACCACGACCCTGCTCGATACAGTGCAGGCTCGGAAGTTCCCCCCGCGCTAGAAATGTTGGGGGGCCCGACGTAGGTGTCGGTTTCGAGCAATGTTAACTTCACACCCAGACTAGTCTGCCGTAACCCTCTGTCGCCTATTCTCTTTTTCCTCTTGTTCTGCCTCGTTCTCTTCATCCACTGATTTGTCATCCTGTTTCTGTTGCTGCTACCCCTCATTGTCCCTCCTACGCCACCTCTTCTGAGTGCACGCTCTCTCCGTCTTTCCCTCTGTCTCCGTATCCTCCGCCTCCCCCCCAACGTGCTCCTCGTCATCCTCTTCGTCCCCTTCCTCCCCTCATCCCAGCCTCGGCATCTCTGTTCATCTGTTCTTTCTTCATTTCCCCAGTTTTTCTACTGCTACCCTTGCTGTTTCTGATTTGGTTGTGAGACCCCATCGTAAAATGCGTTGCTTATCCTCTTTTATGCTCGTTCTTTTTTTGTCCGCCTCTGCGTGGCAGGCTCGCAACGAGCTCGGCGAGAACAGGAAGTCTGGAAGAGACGAATGGGTTGTTCAAGTGCACCAGGCCCGGACACCAGACTCTCGCTGGGGAGATGGTGCTTGGTGTGGGACGTCGTGCCGGTTAAGCTTGGATGGTGTTGAGGTTGTCGTGCTAATTGTTGTAATATGCGATGTCTGCCTGGTGCGAGTGTTGTTCACGTTGGGCGCTGAGGTAATTGCAGCAGCACCGCGCGGCGCTCATCCCTTCCCCCCGTATGCTCTTAGCGCGACCGCATTTAGCTGGACGGGAAAGCGTTCCAGTGTTCTCCCTGACGCAATTGACAATACATGTCAACTCGAGGATAACATCACTGCGTTGAAATCTTGTACGGAGGGAAGCCACTCCCAGCTTCCGTTCAGCCCAGTATCAAGCCTGCCCCGCTGCAGCCAAAATCCATCACGAGTAGCTTTCCCTAATGTACGAGTGGGCTTCTGGGCCGTGCGTTTCTCAAGAGGCCTCACCTTGGGCGTCCCAGAGTCTTTCATCCTTATCATGCGTTCTTACTACAGTCTTGGAGGGTACGCATTCACCAGATATCAATCCCGGACGGAATTCCGCCACATCTGACCGGCGTGATTTTGCAGACAATGTGCGTATGTTTCGTCGTGGGTGAGGGGGCCGGGCTCAGCGCCAGAATGGGGCCCCAGCATCCTAGTCGGATGACGCGTCCTTTTCACCGTTGCGCGGCGCCAGAAGCTTGCACGATGCTGCCGTCGCTGTCTCGAGCCTACGCAGGGATGGGGTCTGCCGCCTGCCACCTGCAAGCCCTCCCCACGCCCGCCGCCTCCAGCTCCACCTCCGCCGCCGCCTCCGCCTCCCCCGCTCGTCTTCTGCTCCTCTCAGCCCAGTGGCACCTCTCGTTTCCGAGACCGCCTGCACCGTTCAGTCTTGATGCTTTTTTTTGTTTTGATTTTTCTCGTGCTTTTTTGTTTGTTTGTTTTTTCCCCCACGATCTTTGTGTGTTCCATCAGAACACCTCCTCCTGGAATCCGCCACCCCCACCAGCTCGGGAACGCGGTGCAGGCCGACCTCCCACGGGCGAGCCTCCCAGCAGTCCCGCGGCGAGGCAGAGACAAACGGGGGGGGGGGGAGTGAGGAGGAGGGGGAGGAGGAGGAGGAGGAGGAGGAGGAAGAGGATTTTTTTTGACATCCACAACTGCCAAGCCATACTCTCTGGGGGGACGGCGCCTCCCCCCAGAGGAGGGGGCAGGGCTGGGTGGCGCAACCTGCCACTTTCGCCACCAGCCCTGCCACACCGCCCGCTGACGTCACGGCAACTGCGGGGGGACTCACGCCGAGACAGCTGCCAGTCCCGCAGTGCCGTGGAAACAGCGGGAAAAAACTAACGCCACCGAGCCAGGGCGACGGGTTCGGCCTTGCTCACCCCAGAGACGGGTAAGCAAACCCCCGCGCCATCCTCACAGCTCGTCTCGCGGCCCCTCGCCCCACTCTCTTTGGAGGGAGCCGAGGGAAAAGAATTCACTGCATGCTGCACTCTCGTCACGATTGGCGGTGTGACGAGCAAACTAGTTGGCCGAGACTCGCACCAAAAACGGAGGCTGGGCGGATCCTCGACCCCTGGTCTGCAGGGGTCGAGTGGGGCAAAACACAAAAACGGAAAGACCCTTCGTGGGAAGGCGCTCTGAGACCGTGGATTTCGATACCATCCGAATCAAAAGTTGGGGACGGGCGTTGAGAAGGAGGGAGGCCCGAGGACGGAGTGGGGAACCGCACCTGCAGGCAATTCTTCAGGTCGGCCTACTCCCAAGTTCTTCCTTGGGTGGCAACCACGCATGACTTTGTTAAAATTGGTGCGGCCGTGGCCGCGAAGCTCATTGGGGCACTCCTTGGACAAAGCAGTCTTGACAAAAACCGCTTGGTGCATATAGCCCCCGCATTTGGGGCAGAAATAGAAATCGGCACCATCCGTGCACGGCAGGACCACAACGCTATGACCATGAGAATCAGCGATGTCCAGATCGGCGCTGGCTTTGCCGATGCACGATCCGCCAGGCGGCATGGCGCAAGAACGAGAACCTACCCTGCACACAATGCATCTCCACACAGAGTGTTGCCACTGCCACTGATGCGGGACCGAGGGCTCCACGGGACCACAGGTGGTGCGACAAGGGGTGACCAGCGGAGCGTCCTCGAGCTTCAAGCGTGGCCACAGCGGCAGCAACTTGGCAGCGAGACGGCAAGCGACTTTACTGATTTTGACGGCGCGGTTCACTCGCTCTTCTTCCTCGGGCGACGGCTGGGGGTGAGAGCGGGCGCCGCGCTGCGCAGCTTTGTCGGCAAAATCGTTACCTACTCTACGGATTCTCTCAGCATCGGATATGCCGACCTCATCCACATCCTGGTGGGCTTTCAATTTCACCACAGCCTGGACGAAAGGGGCATTATTGATATACAGAAACTGGCCAGCATAGCGCCTCCTGTACGACAATCGTTCACTAGGGGGCAGGCGGAAATGATTAACTACCGCAAGGCAGTCAGAAAAAACTTCAGAATTGGCTACAATGTGGAGAGCTGCCATGGCAATGGAACAATACTCCCCAGCTGGTGCTGTCTGGCTAATCGGGTGGTGCACAGGACCATGCAGGGCGCACAAGAGGGAGCCCTGGGGGGAGACCATGCAAACCCCCCAGCCCGCCCTTGAAAGTTCTGAGATGGGATGCCAGAAACAACTCCCGTCAACATAGATACTGCCCTGCAAGTCCCCATTAGCGAGCGCCTCCGAGAAGTCCTCTTCCTCAGCAGCTGGCAGAATGGCCCCACCCCCCGAGCTAAGGGCCTTCGGCCAGAACGATTCGGGATGCTCGAAGATCCCCCGATCGAAAAGGATGCGATCCCCATCAGACAACGGACCCAAGGCAACTTCTAGGATCTCTGGAGGGATAAGCTCGCTGCGAGTCTCGGACACCGCGGGGCACTCGTAAAGTCTGTGGTGCACAGAGTCTGGCTGAGCACGACATAGAGGGCAGAGCAACTGCTCGTCGCTGAGCTGGTAGCCCACCTCTGCGGCTCTGTCGGCAGTCCAGGCACCACCGCAGCAAAGGTTCCTGATCGAACCCTTCTCCAGTGCAGTATATTTCTTCGATCGCATCTGGCTCTTGCAAATGTCGAAACAAGCCCGATCCCACCCAACATCCAAGCTACTTCCCACATGCATTTCAAGACCCCTCACCACTGCCCGCCTGAGGATGTCCTTCAAGAGGGTTGGGCTGACAAAGGTGAGAGAGACTAATGTGCCGTCGTGCATGGCGAGAGTGCGTAGTTGGGCATGGACCAACCGATGCGCTTGACAGACAAGAAAAGGGCAGAGATCGGGCCAGCGACAGATCGCCACGTCTTGGGCTGCAGCTTACCCTCGAACACTGACGACCAGCACCTCCGGAGCTCCTTATGAGACATACCCCCCAAGTATTGATGATACTGGGCCGCCCATAACTCTTTTCCCCACCGAACGATAGGTGCGACCATCCCGTAGTAAGTGGGGTCGTCCTCACAGACCAAAGCAGAGGAAAGGCTGCGGCCGCCACAAGACGGCCTAAGACACTTGCCTGCTTGGCGGCGGATGTGGGCAAGCTCGGTGTCGCTGACCCCGTGGATCTCGCAGCCGAAATTGATCCCCGCCAATGCCCCACTGGTGAAAATCTTTTTAGCGGAACGGCCCAGGACCTGACGTTGTTTGTTGATCCTGCTGACACGCTTGTCGAAGGTGGAGCGGCGCTGCTTCGCTTTCCTACAACGGCCCTTGACCCTCCTAGGCAGCCCAGCGGTATCGTCAGTCCCCAGGTTGACAGCCGAAGAGGTCCCCCCAGGGCCGGCCCAGACACCCAAGAAGGCCAGAAGTTTTTCCCCCAGACGCCGCTGACTGCATACGAGGCTCGCCTTGTCAGGAGCGACCTGGCACTTGATATCGGCCTCCACAGCCTTGAACAAGCCCACTGCCCCGACGGTGATGGCCGAATAAACTTCTTGAAAGCTACCCTGAGCAGAAAGACCCAGGTCATCAATGAAAAGATCCAGGCTGGACGACGGATGCAGCTGGACATTCACAAAGGCTTTCATGTAATAGACCCTGACAAAACTAGTAGCAATGCTGCATCCCGCAATGACGCCACGGATCGCCAGGAACGGCCCCTGGATGAACCCACTGATGTTTATGTACCTGGGGGCCCGATAGGCCGTAATACAAAGCCTGGAAACCACCTGCGGGAAACCCGACTCGTCACATCTTGTCGCGAGGTCCTCTAGGTCCATGGTTTCATAGAACTTGTACATGTCCCAGAGGAGGGGCGCCGAGCACTTGCCTAGCTGGACAGCCGCTTCACT